AGAAGATGTTTGTAATAGAAGAGATAACCCAAATACTGCTTCCGTTATATTTGGCGTCGAATGGAAGGTGGGCACCATGTTCCTCTGCCCATTCCACAAGGGATGTGCCGTTTCTGTCAGTGTCTGAGTATTTCCACATCTCATGGTGGCTGTTGAAATCCCCTACGTATATGGCTGGGTGTTTATAGGGATTCAGAACTTGGACAGGCCAGGTTATAGCAGGAGGTTTGTATATGTTAGCTATTATGACATTGCTTATTTTCACAGTTACCTCGTGGATGTTGTTCTCGGTAGAAGTGGCGATTAATGCTGCATTTTCTATGTTTCAACGGACATATGTTGCCACTCCGTAAGCTCTATCGTAGGTAGCGCCCAAAAGATCATGGCCGGAGATTTTTCCTCTTGAGCTTAGTTGACCTTCGTTTTCTGTGTGCGTTTCCGGAAGTGCTACTAGGTCAACTTCGTTGTCGTTTAAAAATCTGTGCAGGATTTGACATTTTGCCCTGCTTATGCCTTCTATGTTAAAATGGCAAACTCGTATGCTTGGTCCGAGTTCTTTGGTAAAATGGTCCTGATAAGGTTCGTTTACAAGTGTCATTTCTGGAAAGATTTTCTGTGATATTTGAATTACTAGGAGATTCAAGATTGTCTGGTGTCTTTTGTGCTAGTTCATTTAGCGTTACCCAGGGTGCACGTGTAGTGTTTTACTACGGACGCGAACTAGCTTTACACCCCAAAGTGAGCATAAAGTGCATATAATTTGAAAATTTGGTGTTAAGTATATATTTTTATATTCAAACTTAAAGATAGTCTGAAAATGACAATATTTAATTTTGTTTTATAATCACTTGGGATTCAAATTCTTGGTACAGTAACTAATAAAAGACAGCGGCTTATAGTTTTGTCACGTTTTGTCCTGGAATTAAGGGTTTGTGTAAACCAGTTTATATCACTAAGTAAAAATTTTTATTTTGACGGTCAGTTTTACTTGGTTTCGCTTTTTTTGTAAAATTGGACGCGTAAACAACGTGTTTTTCTACTTATGAATAATTAGCGTGCTTTGAAAATGCCAAAAATAAGCAATGTTTCAACTTGGATAAAACCTTTCAAAGAGCTATCTATGGATATGGATAAAGTTGATTGCTGATGTTGTGGCAAAGCCGTAAGTACATACGTATTATTTTTTATTTCATTTTAAAAATTTACACGGTGGTACAAACAAAGGTTATATCAAGAAATACAAAAGTAAAACTCTACAAAACAATAATACGCCCAGTCCCAACATATGGTTCAGAAACCTGGACTTTAACAAAAAGCAATTAAAACATGTTCGGATGTTTAAAAAAAAACTAAGGCGAATCTAAGGAGCGGTAAATAAAAATGGTGTCTGGAGAAAACGATACAACTTCGAACTCTATAGAATATACCACAAACCAGATATCGTAAAACACATTAAGATAGGATGTCTGAGGTGGGTAGGCCATGTAATGCAAATGGAGCAAACCGACCCAGCTAGAAAAACGCTCCTTGATAGACCTATTTTTACAAAGAAGAAGAGGAAGACCCGGAACAAGATTCCTAGATAACATAGATGTATTTTTTCTTTTTTCAAGCATTTTTTAAACTCCTTGCGATAAAAAATGTATACCTATTTAAAATTCAACTCATTAAATAGTCTACTGAAAGGTTGCTAACATTTTTTTTCTAACAATTGCATAGTTTGCTTTAATTTTGCTAAAAACAAAAACATATCATATATTGGACTTCATTAATTAAGTGCTTTTAATTTATGCTCACAGTATTTTTTCTTTAAATTTAAAGAGGAAAGACCAAGGTTCATTTTTAGTTTATTTCTACAATCTTAGATTTTAAAAATAGGTACAACTATAGAATATTTATATTCTTTTTCGATTTCATCCGAACAAAATTTCCAATAGATCAGCATGTCAGAACCGCGAAACATTTAGCTAAAAAGTAAAAACCACATCCGGTGAAAAATATCAACCTTCAGTATCCAAGTGATTTCAGTCAAGTTACAAAAAACAAACCGAACAAGAAACTTTTAACAAAGACTTGTGTCGTGCATTAGTATCTTCTAAAATACCGCTTTTAAAATTATCTAATAAAAACTTTAGTTCTTTTAAAAAAAATATTGTAAACAAAACATTCCCAGTAAACGACCTGTAAAGAGAAATAATGACAATTTGTTATACTCCTAAGTTATGTACAACATAATAGCCGAAATAGGTAATAATTACTTTTACATAGTATGTGTGGACGAGACCACTGACTCGTCAGGAAGATACATTGTGCACTTATTGATTGGTGTACTTAGCGATGAAACCTTTCCAAAATCGTATTTAATTTACTGTAAGCAAGTGGAAAAAAACAACGCTCTAACAATATCACGGTTTCTACAAGAAGCATTAGCAAACTTTTTCTTCCTGCTGCTGTGCCTAATGATAAATTATTTTTTCTGATGCTGCACCATATGGTGAAAGCGGGACAAGATTTAAAAAATGTTATCCAAACTTAATACATGTCACTTGTTTAGCACATAGAATAAACAGAGTTAACAGTTTAATAGCGAGCGTCAAAAAGGTATTCCTGAAATCACCTGTAAGAATACAATGCTCCAGAGATATGCTGCCTGCTGTTCCACTGCCACCGCAACCCATTTTTGGGAACACGTTGGGGAACATGGTTGGAAGCAGCTAATTTCTATGCTTATCATTTTGTTGATTAAAAAAACGGATGATAGTTGCCAATCTTTATTGGAAGCTAAGCAAGCCTTCCAAAATAACATCATTCAACAGCAAATGTCATTCATAAAATCAAATCATAGTTTTGTCCAGACAACTATAATTCCTCCTCCAAATTATCATTTTTAGAGAGTATAGTTTTAATAAAAGAATTTGAGTGATTGTGTCAAAACGTTAAAGGTACTATTGGAAAGGAATTTTTTTTTAAATTGTAAGTAACCATGAAAAAAAAAATAGTGGTTACCAGGTTATTTCTAAAATCAATTGATGCCAAAAGAAGTTTTTCTATTTACAAATATATGTATTCAGATAGAAGTCATAAGTTTTTATTAGAAAATTTTGACATATTGACACACTTGACACACATTTGATAATTAATTGTTACCACAATTCAAAATAATATTCATATGGTAAAATAATTGTATATGTTATGTATTTATAATATTGTAAGTATTTTTGTAAATAAAAAAATATTGTAAATACTGCATATTTATTCTTATACTTTTTTATTTGCATATTTGCCTGAGTCTAGTAATTACCATTGGATATATTAATATTAAATTGATTTGTTATGTCACATCCATTTAGAAGTCTGCACTAGTATCTTTTTAAAAAATATTACCCTAATAGAAATTCTTTGAAATTACGATGGTGCTGTCAGAAAAATAGTGAACAGAAGTATTGAGCTTAGTTGAAGATCTTAGTTACAGTTACAATTGTTCAGAGCTGCAGCCAGCAAAGTAAAGATTGCTGTGATGGTAGCCAACCTCCGATAGGAGACGGTACTGCAAGAAGAAGAAGAAGATCTTAGGTCACGACGATCGTAAAAAAGTATGGCGAAATATGCGATATCTTTAATAAAAAATATCCTGATCGAGTACTAATAAGTAAGAGTGGCAGACCCACTGTTTCCGACAACAATCAATTATTAAATTCCACGAGGAAACTAAGTTCCTGTAGCTGGCTGTATACCATATATCACAAAAAAATTGTGTTTTTTTTTTAATCAATTTAAAAAAAAAATTTTAATCAATTATTAAGTGTATTACCATTGTATTACTTAAAATTGAAGAAAATCCTTATTCTTTAAATACAAATTAATTAACTAACAATTAGATCTTTAGTGGTGCTGTTCATAAAATTATAAAAAAAGGGTAAATTACATCCATATAAAATGAATCTTATACATGAACTCAATGAAGACGAATTTGATAGACGAATAGAGTTTCGCGAAAATATGCAAGAATTGTGTAATTGAAATAATCTATGTAAATACAATATCTTGTTTTCCGACGAGGCCACTATTTGTTTAACTGGTACCGTTAATAGGCAAAATTGTCGTTATCGGGCAACAGAAAATCCCATTTAGACAATGGAAGTTTATACCCAATATTCACGAACAGTAAATTTTTGGGCTGGGTTTGTTAAGAATACCCTTGTAGGACCTTATTTTTTTGACGGACTGTAACGAGTGAAAGGTATTTAGAGATGTTGCAAACCTACGTAGTTCCATTTTTAACCGCAACATTTCCAGAAGTCAGTAATCCTGGTCAAATAGATCCGACCATTTAGTTTTATCAGGATGGTGCAAGTCCACATTATGCTGTAGTGGTCAGAAATTTTCTAAATGCAACTTTTCCGAATCGCTGGATTAGGAAAAGTTGAACATTGAATGGCCTGGTAGGTCGACAGATTTAAATCCCATGGACTTTTCTATTTGGGGTTATTTGAAAAGTAAGGAGTATGTAAACTGACCTACCAATTTGGTAGACCTCAAACAAAGAATTCGTACTGAAAAGCAACAAATGACACCAGTGATATTGTCAAACATAACCCAAGAATTCATTGGACGTCTTGGATACTGTCAATTAAACCAAGGAGCTTAATTCGAGCATTTGTTGTAATTATGTTGTTTATTTGTCTTTAATATGAAATGACTTCTTTAATAATTTTCTTTGTAGAATAAAATTTTAATTAAATTTTAAGAAATACGAGCACTGGTCTGTATACTGAAGTTTGAATGTGATGAGTTTGTTACGGTTCTACTCAGAAAAGTATCGGCTTCTAATATTTTAGATAAAAATATGCCTTTTCAATTTAAAAAAATTATCTATGACGTCACATATGTAAAGATCATGGCGGTAAAAGTTTTTTTTTTTTTAAAGGTTAAAAAACAAAAATAAAAATCGACCTGCCAGAGCTTTAACTCTGAAAATTATTAAGTCATGAGATAGTAGACCGTTTCCACACTTTATAAATGCATAATTGTATAATGTCCAATATGTATGATTTAAATAATAACAAATATTAAAAATTTAATTTTTTAATAAATTGTTTAATAAAATATCACTATTTATAAGAATAATCCAGCTTTTCCTCCGGATTCAGTTTTACCATTTCTTCTGACGCCTTCCAGATAGCTTCACAAAATGCTGTATCATAAGCGGCCCTAGGTCGAACGTTGTGAAAATATCTACCAACGAAATTTCCTGTTACTTTCTCAAACTCTCTGGCAGTTACTATTTGTACGGCGCCCTGTGAGGTGACCCTTGTTTTCTACAAATAAAATGTTTAATGTACACAAAAACATGAGATATTATATTTAAGCATTTTTATGTGATTCGTTAGTATATTTGAAAAATGGAACATAAAATTTTTGACTAAATATCATAAGATGTAAGCTTTAAATAAAGAATGTCTCATTACTATGCTTTAAAAAACATTAAATACGCATAAAAAATTGTATTGATCTTTGTGGAGCAAGATATAAATTTGGCAATATACGTATCTTGCAGAAAATTTAGTTATATTTCATGTTGACTAACAAAAAATTTTCAAATTATTTCCTTTAAATGACCGAATTTTTATGACAAAATGTTAAAAAAACATGGCTTTCGCCCATTTTCACCATTAATTCCACAAAAAATATTTTATAAAAGGGACCGTCTCCCTGCTATCCTAGATCAGGGGTCACCAAATGGCGGACCGCGGTCTGCATCCGGACCGTGAGCTTGTTTTTTGCGGACCGCCGTTAAATTCCAAATATAGTAATAAAATTATAGTGTAAAATTATAATCCAATCTAAGTATATAAATGTCTTTACATTTTAAAAATGCACAATACTAATACTATATAGAAATATTCGTAATCTAAACAATATATTTTGACTACACGGTTTTCAAAATTTCAGATAGTACCTACCTAAAAATAATCTTTTAGCAAACTAGAATTGGGAAGCTGTCAACACAAAATGTTTTGCAAGTGTTAAGCAACAGTTTTTTACTCAAGCCTAATGGTGTATGGACCAACGAAGCAGCAGACGTTTTTAAGAGTAACAAAGCTGCCCTTCAGATGGAAATGATCGAGTACAAAAATATCCAGCACTAAAATCTTTGGCAATCAAACTGTGTACATACTATGTTTGGCTCAACTTACGTGTTAGAAGCCGCTTTTTCAAAAATAAACTTAATAAATAAACTATTAAAAATCAGTACAGATCTCGGTTGACAGATAACATCTCGACTCCCCAACGAGAATGAGTTGCACTCACCTCACTATAAATTTCAGACAGGTTATACAAAATAAAAGGTGCCATTTTTCTTACTAATAGTTTAATATTGTAAGGCCTAGTTGCCTAGTTTCAATTACGTAACGAGATTGATCTCATGAGGAGTGGTTACAAACCCCCCCTCCCCCCCAGGGACTAGTGCTGAGTGTCCGGACCGCAGAAGTATAGTAGGTTTTCGAAACGGACCTGACCTTTACGGAATATAATTAGTGACCTCTGTAGCTAGATGATTTCATCATCAGCCATAGTTGAGCGTCAACCTTCCTAAGCCTATTTGTCCATTCGTCCCTATTCTTTGCAACAAGGTTGCGATTTGCCACACAGTGGCGAAGCTGGATGAAAAATTTTGGGTAGACAATTTTAAAGGAATAATCCTTATTTCAGGAGTGAGGAAAATAAAACAGAATATTTTTTAAATATTTTATTTTCATAAACAAGTAAACACAACAAAAACATGGACACATTTTTTAAAACAAAAAATAAACTTAACTATAATGTTTATTCGCTAAACAATAAATATTAAATTTTTTTTATATATTAAGTCAATTTTTCTATTTTTATTATTAACAAAATAGTCAATAACTACGGGTAGCGGGTAGGAACTCTTTAAATTCTTAAAGATAGTCCCATCAGGGAAAATTAATCAAATTAATCAATCCCTGTCCTCCGCAGATTCCGGGGGTTTCCTGGCCCGGGAAACCAGTACCTGGTTAGGGTCCCTCGTCCAGGGTTACGGATGAAGTCCACAACGGCAGACACGGCGGAGAAGCGAAGCTTCGGTACGGTGTGGATAGCGGAAATGGCAACCCTCGATTTTAGGGTTGATATAGAATCAAAACAGTAGCGTCTGATCCAGAATGGACGGCTGCGAACAGCGTCTGACGCAGAATGGGCGGCTGATATAAAACTCACCAACCCGTCTAGCCAGCGTGGTGTTTTAAGGCTACTCATCCTTCCAAATACAGAAATGGCGAATACTAAAACGAAACGGAACGGTCCCCAGGTGGATGGAGTATGTTATGCCAAATCCCACACCCAGAAGAGGGTCTGCCTCGTAGAATATGGGGGAGGCAAGAATTCGCTTAGTACACACAGAATGCACATCGGCACATATAATATCAGAACGATGAGGACAGAAGATAACCTAGAAGAGTTGCAAGAAGAACTTAAGACCATCAAATGGGACATAGTAGGCCTATGCGAGACAAGGCTTAAAGGCGAAGAATCGACTCTACTAAAATCAGGGCACACTTTGTACCAATACAATTCAGGAAATAACCAAGGTATAGGAGGCGTACGCTTTTTAGTACATAAGAGAATTGAAAACATGGTAACCAAATTCCAAGCAATTTCTAATAGAGTTATCTATATGGTAATAAAACTAAATCGTAGATACAGCATTCAAATAATCCACTGTTATGCACCAACTTCTTCTGCAGATGATGAAGAGGTAGAACAACTTTATGAAGACATTACAAGAGCCAGAAACCTAGAGAAAACATATTACGTAATAATTACGGGAGATTTCAACGCTAAAATAGGAAAGAACGAAAATAACAACGACAACGAATATATTGGAAATTTTGGACTGGGAAGTAGAAATCACAGGGGAGATATGCTCGTAAATTTCCTCAGCAAAGAAAAACTATTCTGCTTAAATACCTTCTACAAGAAAAAGATGCAGAGAAAATGGACGTGGTTAAGCCCAGATGGCAAAGTAAAAAATGAAATTGACTTTATACTCTCTAACTTCAAAAACATTGCTAAAGATCTTTCTGTACTAAATTCTTTCAACACTGGTAGTGATCATCGATTAGTTAGGACGCGAATAGAAATAAATACGAGATTAGATAGAAGAAAATTATTAACACAGGATAAATTGCCAAACATAGAAGCACTCGAAATGAATCAAGAGGAATATCAAAGTGAACTAAAAAAGAAACTAGGACCTCTACCAGTATTCAACACGAAAGATATAAATGAAATAACACAAAAATTAACGAACGACATAACATCAACTGCAAAAAAGATCTGTGATAAAATAAAAATCCCAGAAAAACGAAACTGAAACAAACAACACTTAATTTAATGGAAGAAAGAAGAAGAACATCGAAAGAATTACCAGAGTATAAAGCTATCAACAATAAAGTTAAAAAGAGCATAAGGTCAGACTTGCGGGCTTATAAAACAAAACAAATATTGCAAACCATCGAAAACAATAGAAACATGAGAGTATTGAAATCAAATTTAACTAAAGGAAAATCAAATATAACTAAAATCAAAAATCAACAGGGGAATACGGTGACCGAAAAAACTCAAATAATCAAGGAAATACAAACGTTCTATAAGAATCTTTATACATCTACTATACAGAACCCCGAAACAGACCACAGAACAATTCTAAACGTCGGCTCGGAAACCCTCCCTAAAATAACCTCTTCGAAAATTAGACATGCCTTACAGCAAATGAAAAACAAAAAAGCTCCCGGCGAGGATCGTATAACGTCTGAAATGTTAAAAATGGGCGGCAACATCGTTGTAGAAATTGTGGAAGTCTTACTGAATAAGTGTCTAACAGAAAAAAGAATACCCAGCCTATGAGAAAACGCCGAAATAATACTTTTACACAAGAAAGGAGACACTACTAATATTGATAACTACAGACCTATAAGTTTGTTGTCACACTTATACAAATTGTTAACAAGAATAATAACCAACCGCATAACACAAAAACTTGATTTATATCAACCGGTTGAACAGGCGGGATTTAGAAAAGGGTTTGGCGCTAATGATCACTTACAAACCATCAGAACACTAGTAGAAAAAAACCACCATAGAATAATAAAAAAACCATAGAATATAATGTACCTTTACATATGGCATTTATCGACTTTCACAAGGCTTTCGATAGTATTGAGACTTGGTCCTTTTTGTCAGCCCTGAAGGATGCTCGAATAGACTCACGGTACACTACACTCATTAAAAACATTTATGAACAGGCCACATTCCACATCAAAATCAATTAAGACGAAAAAACTGAAAAAATGCGCCTTGATAAAGGTATTAGACAAGGTGATACTATTTCACCAAAGCTTTTTACCTTAGCATTGGAAAATGTATTCAAACAGCTTGACTGGGAGGAAAAAGGTCTAAACATTGATGGTGTACGTTTGAGTCATTTGAGGTTTGCGGATGACATAGTATTATTTAGTACAGATATCAAGGAACTGGAGCAAATGTTGAAGGAATTAAACCAGCAGTCAAATAAAATAGGTCTCAAAATGAACCTTCAGAAAACAAAAATAATGAGTAATTTACAAACTAATCTTGTTATTGACAACGTCAGTCTTGAAAATGTAGACCACTATATATATCTTGGACATACCATTAAAATCGGCAAAGAAAATCAAATAGCCGAAATAAAACGACGCATACAACTGTCTTGGGGAGCTTTCGGCAAATTAAGCTTTATTTTGAAGAATAAAGATATACCAATGTGTCTAAAACGTAGAGTTTATGACAAATGTATCTTGCCTGTAACTACATATGGACTGGAGACCATGGCCTTTACAAAGAAAACCTTAGAGCAGCTCAGTACAACCCAAAGAGCAATGGAGAGGGCCATGCTAGGGATTAGTTTGAGAGACAGGATTCGAAATAACGTCATTCGTGAAAGAACAAAAATTACTGATGTCTCAGAACGTATTGCAAGGCTCAAGTGGCAATGGGTCGGACACGTTGCCCGAGATAATCCCGAAAAATGGACACAAAGATTAACAAACTGGAGACCAAGAGAGAACAGGCGAGGAGTAGGCAGACCGCAGAAGAGGTGGACAGACGATATCAAACAAGTCGCGGGCAAGCAGTGGATGATAATTGCCAAAAGTAGAAATCGATGGAAGCAAATGGAAGATTCCTATGTCCAGCAGTGGACAAACACAGGCTGAAGAAGAAGAAGTCAATAACTTGTTCTTTCATTTCTGGAGTA